TTAAAAATGAATGTTAAAATGCAAATACAGTGGATGATCGGTTAATGAACATAATCTGTTCCAAGACTTTGTTTGCTGTCCGAATTGTTTGTTAACCGATTATCAATTTACCATAGGTTTTAATGGGAATTTAATTAATTTATTCTGGAGATCCCCAAAAATAAAAAATATATACTTTCTTACTACGTTTATTTATATCAATAATAAAAATACATACATAAACAGTCTTGCACTTTTATTAGTCATGTTATTTTCGTTTGTGGGGGTTAAAGAATTTGTCTAATGTTGATTGCTTTTCTCTCTTCTTTAGGATTTTTCAGAAGTAATTAATAGCATTGTAATTGTAGAGATCCCTAAGTCTATTAACCTCAGCCTGGTTTGGATGCCATTCTAAGACCATTGTTCTGACATCCTCCCACTTCTTCAAAAGATGTTTAAAAGCAGTTATTGGCATTAATCCTCTTTTTCAGAAGAAAACATATCTCGCCGAGTTTCTTGGTGTTATTCATTCAAGAGTTCTTGGCGTTCTTCTGTCGTCAGATCCATTTCAGGTTCTATTATGAGCTCTTCAATGTTCTGTGCTTTTCAGATGTGATTTTTGTTACTTCTTTAGCTGCTTGAGTCTTCTTGATTATACCATATCTTTCTTAGGTAAGATTGAACTATGACCTACTGTAGACTTGTTCAAGCCATACTGCCCAGCAACATCAGACATCTTCTGCCCACTCTCACCTTTTGAAAATAAAAACTGACATAAAACTTAATGAGTGCCTGCCCAACAGTCTTGCGAATACTATAAAAAAATTGTTTTTGTCAGAAAAATAAAAGGATGGAATTACAAGGGAGAGTTTCAAAGTTCGGAGAAATACAATCTGATCAGTGTATACTGGGTTGAGGGTTGATGTCAACATCTTCCATGCTTCGAAAAGTTTCAAATTGTTACCTGGAGACAAGGGAAGACCAGTCAATATTCATTATTTTACGTCAGGTCGTCTTGTGTTTGTTCTGTGAGGTGTTCGTTATCCGAACATAAAAATCTTTTGCGAAAATGTTCATTATCCGATTTGTTCGTCATCTGAACTGTTCATTAACTGATCGCTTAGTGTATATATGTAAAGAAATGAATTTTTAAAACTGATCATTTATGTAATAAAGTATGCTTGAAATCAAATAAATGGCTTATTCAATTTTCTATCTTCAGCTAAGATACACAACACATGTTGAAAGTGAATTAATTAAAATTAAGTTAAATAATTACATTCATTAGACTTACGGATGTATTTTATGATTATTTAAAAGATCAGGCAAGATTTTTCTCCTTTGTCAAATGGGTTTACCAAACTAAAACATCAATTATCTCCATATTAGATATAAATTAATACCTCTGATAAAACCTAAAAATCCTAAGACATTTTAATTATTAAAATTTTCAAAAACAATGAATTAAGAATTGTTCTGATTATTATTTCACAATGATAGTACAGGGATCTGCATCATAGAATCGTTCGTCTTATTTTTTTTTATTTGAGCTTGAGCTCGAGCTCAGAGAGTTTTCTCAATTTAGGGTAATTTTTTGCAGTTGAAATTGATTCGATTGTTTTAGTTAGGGTGCCTAATGTTGATAGGGGATGTGTAGCTCCCAGAAATGTTTTAGCTGTTGTTATGAACATTATTCCATCAGATCTCTATCAGTTAGGAAACAAGGAAAGTCTTCTTGATCAGCTTTATGCTCTTAATGAATTTACAATTTCTACAGTAACATTATTAACATTCAGAATGTACCCTCAACTTTATTAACACTTTGCTCAGCATCCATGTTAACATCTGGAAGTAAGCAAGGGTTTATAATATGTCACTGTAAAAGACACTGTATTGATAAAAATGCAAATGTTGCTCAAAGAACCTAAAATGCATGAATAATTAAATGTTGTTGTAAAGTAACCATGTTAAATTTCTGTATATGGTGAATAATTTTGTTACCTGTGTATACAAGATGATTGAAGATAAATAAATCATAATGAAAAAGAAAGTTTTATTTTCTTATCATCACCACGTTATTAGTTAACATCCAGAACGTGTGGTGGCGTTTAACCATAATAAATCTGTCACACAGTGGTTTTTAACTTTAGCAGCTGATTTTTATTTTATTGTGTATAGTATATCAAGCACCTACAAGTATATGTAATTAGACCTTTAGCACTTTTTAGCAAAACAAAAGAAACAAATGTGTATTTTTCTCCATATATTTTATTTATTTGAAATTTTTTTAAGTATGAAAATTAAATTTCTAGAAAAACTTGTAGAACTAATGTTGTTTGGCATTAAAAATTGTAAATAAAAATGTTTCAAGCCTAAAATTCGTATTTTAAAGTTACAAACCGCTGTTTGTCATATGATCCTGTATCATCATGGCATCAGCTAACGTTCAGAATGCATTATGGCTTTTCTTAATCACCATAATGCATAGTGATCAAATATCATGAAAGCCACAACACTAATTTCACTTCGTGGCCATTTTGAAACAATGCATTATGGTTGTTTTTTACACTCAATCAGGGCCTCCGTAAGCAGGCGTGCAAGGCGTGCGCCGCACGCGGGCGGCACGTCCAGGGGGCGGCAAAGAGCCTTTCTGGCAAGCTCAGCATAGGTAATTGTAGTTAAACAGGGGGCGGCATAATCGGTATTGCACACGGGCGTTCAAACAGCTAGCGGCGCCCCTGCACTCAATGAGCAATTTTGGTCTTTTAGCCTAACATATATATATATAATGATATTCAATTACATTTCATAGAATCTTTTGTTCTACTTAAAATGTAATTGAATATCATTATATATATATATATATATATATATATGTTAGGCTCAAAGATGTTCTACTTAAAAGTTTGAGATCTTGTATTAAGTTTTACAATTTACTTTTGAATCATATTAGCTTATTGTATTTTAGTTTGTCATCATTATCATTTAATTCTGGTTAATTATTATTGGGAGTTCTCACAGTCCATCAAATGTAAATTAAGGACTGGCCTTGGTGTTCTTCAAATATCAAATTCATTCCATGAACTGTGATATGAGGATATTCATTCCATGCAGGATATGAGTTGCGTTTAACAAAGCATAATATCCTGCAATTTACAGATAGTAATTTGGTTGTTACCCAGTACTCATATATGTTAATCTAGGTCATTTGGGACAGAAGAAAGGCTGTCAACTAATACAGAGATGACTGCTGTATTTACCAGAGTTGCTCCTTTTTTGTTTTCAAGTTCCTGTACCTCAAGATCTTATTCAGCTTTTTTTTTTCTTTTCAACTTGGCTGTCACCAGATATTGACACAGCAATCATCCACATCTACTCTAATTCAACCATCAGTTAGTCTTACATGTTATAATTGTCCCTCAGCTTTTATTTAAGAATCCTAAAAAATTTTGACATGTTCATTTTTAACAGTTTTTTTTTTTTTTTTAGTATACATGGAATATACAAAATATTTGTAGCTTGCTCGAGATTTTAGAATTAATGGGAAAGGGTAATTCAACACATTGAAAATCTGCCGAGGGGAAGTGTCTTCTGCTAAGACCTTCTAGGGAAAATTGGCTCCTGTTTATGTGCTAAATTAGACATGGGAAGAAAACTGAGAAAACTATAAGGACAGGCCATGTCAGGTGCAAATCTGCAACCAACTACCAGTGTTCAGTAGTTTTATCCATTCCTAACTACAACTTATACAAAACTTGGTTTATCATTTGAAAAGTTTGGACACTACTGTTTACATGAAAACATTTGATGCTTGTTTGTCTTTTAATTAATATATAAAATTATAAATACATGTGAAAGTGTATACAAATAAATACAGTATTTGACTTCAAACAATTATTACATGTCTACCTATTTTTACTGAATTTAATGATAAAAAATATTATCAAGTTACTGATATATTTACTTGAGCATTTTTTAAACTGGTTATTAGTTTACTGGTAATGCAAATTTCTGGCAAATACATTGTCAACATTACATCCATATTTAGAGTTGTTTTGTATATTTTAGTTCATATATAATTTGTCCATTTTATTTAATTTTTGGTATATATTATAACATGTAATATAGACAGGATTCCTGGGAATTTATCCTATTTCCTGGAAAAGTTTTTGTTAATTTTTAAGTTCAGTTTTCCAAGATTTGGGAATCTTGAGTCAATCCCTAGCTGGAAATATCATTCCTTCTGTATTTTTTTTTTTTTTTTTTCAGAGTTTCTTTTTTTAGCCACTGCTAAGTGTTGATATTAGACAATTTTTCTTTTGTTTGCTTGATATTTTATCCTTTTCCTTCTGTTTCATTGGAAGTAGAATTTTCTCTCAAGTGTTTCTTGGATGGTGCTGACTAAATTTCCTATTTTTAATTTGAAAAATATTGAAAGGCAAGTAATTGGTTGATAGTTGTTTGAAACAGCACTATCAGCTCAGTTTTCTGTAGAGGATAAATTTTTCTGTTGTCATCCAATTATCTATTTTCTTTACCTGCAACAAAATATTAAGCTGCTCAACTGTGTTTAAATGAAGACTGGTCAGATGTTTTAGCCAGAATTCATACAGTTCATGCAATATCTCTTATGAATGTTTCATAATTAATTTTTCATCGTTTTTATATGACAGTTTCTTTTTTTAACTTTATAAATTTATCATTTTAAAATAATAGTATGATGTTATTAAATATGTTCAGTGACACACCCAGAAGGGAACCAAGGGACCTGCCCAAAGGAAAAGGAAACTAGAAAACTTTCCAAAAATCTTTTCCTAATTAAAATTCATTTTTTATTTATGTTGTGTTATGTTTTCTATATCTATACTACTATAGATCACATAAAAATGGAAAGTTTAATGAATTTGCATTAAAAAAATTTTTTATCCATTTAACTTGGTTCCCCAAGATAAAATCCTGAGTGTGCTACTGATGATATTGTTACACATTTTAAAATGATAATTAATGCAAAATACTTATAGGTGGAAAGATATTCAGCAAGAACTTGAAGAATTTCAGGAGAGTAGTAGAGAATTAGAAGCAGAATTAGAAGCTCAATTGACACAAGTAGAGAATCAAAATAAAGAACTCAATTCAATAAATAGTCATTTACAAATGGAATGTGAAAAATTACAGGTAATTACATCTTAAAGGTTTCAATAAAACATGCTAACAAAATGTATAGTTTTTAGTGGCCAAATTAGCATATAACTTAAAATAACCAACCACCTTAGTATTTCCAGAAACAAAGTATTTAATAAAAAGAAAAACGTTTTCGACTATTTTTAATAGTCTTCTTCAGTTAAGCCACTTTAAAACAAAAAAGAATGTAAAATAGAATGCAAGCAATATAACAGTTTAAAAATTTGAAAATAATTACAATAAAATAAAATAAGAGTAAAAACAAAAATTAAATTAAAATAAAGTATTAAGAAAATTTAATTTAATTTTTGTTTTTACTCTTATTTTATTTTATTGTAATTATTTTCAAATTTTTAAACTGTTATATTGCTTACGTTCTATTTTACATTTTTTTTTGTTTTAAAGTGGCTTAACTGAAGAAGACTATTAAAAATAGTCTAAAACGTTTTTATTTTTATTAAATACTTTGTTGCTGGAAATACTAAGGCATTTGGTTATTTTAAGTATTTATATTCCAGTATGTTATTTGTTTTATTAGCATATAACAGTAAAGTTTGATATATCTTAATTTTTAATGACTATGATTGTGTCTATATATATATATATGTATGTGAATATAAGAAGATATATATGTTATAATTACATAAATTATTTACCTAATAAAAAAATATATAGAGAAACAAATCAAATTATCAAATCTTTTGATTTAAAACATTCCTTAAACTAAGAAGTCCAAATAATATGGTAGGATAAACATTTTTCAAGATTCCATTTCAGTTTCAGATCTGTAGAAGAACAGAATACTTTATCAAGTTCAAATTATCTCATATTGTAATATTCAGAAACTTGATGGCATAGTTATCCTTGAATTTTTAAATTTTAGTGTTTATATTTCTTACTCTCCAGATCCTTTAGAAATATGAAAAGAAATCAGAGAATTAAAAATAATTGAAATGACTGCATAAAACTTTTTAAGTTACAGTTCAAATTCAGATGTCCAAGGCAATTCCTTCTGCTTTCTTCAGCACTTATTTGTGAAGATTGCAGTAAAAAGCTCTTTTGTCATTTTAAGCAGAAGGACTGAGATACAGGTAACCCCCATATAACACGGTAGTTACATTCCAAAAAATTGCCGTGTTATGCGAATCCGTGTTATGCGAATCAAAGAATTAGTACGAAAAGGAGGGTTAGGTTCCAAAAATTAAAAAACATGCTACTATATTTTCATAATTAAGTTAAATATCTTTATTAAAATTTTCATAAGTGATACATATTAATATAAATTAAACAATGTTTTCTTTGTCATCACTAAAAGCACTATTAACCGAGAGCGTTTTATTTTTGGCAAGTTATCGTTATCCTGTGAGCATTTTTCTGCATTATTTTCAGATTCATGCTTTACCTTTTGCAAAAAGTGTATGTAATTTTAGATTGCTTGCTTCTAGTTAAAAGATCTTTATAAATTTCCTTATATGGTGCTAAGCACTTATGGAATAAGGGAAAAACATCTGGCAACACAGAAGCAGAAGCGTCAAGATATGGCCAATTGAAACAATTTTCGCGAAGGACCATGTGTATGGAGATGAGAAAAGAAAATTTACACACTGAAGTACTAATAGTTCACGAAAATAATAATTTTCGTGAACTATTAGTACTTAAGTATGTAAAAATTTATTACGTGTCATGTTGTACGAGGGTTTTACCCATTTCTCGAACCGTGTCAGAGTAAATCCATGCTATAAAAGTACCGTGTTATACGGGGGATGGTACCAATTCTCGAACCGTGTTAGAGTGAATCCGTGCTATAAAAGTACCGTGTTATACGGGGGATGGTACCAATTCTCGAACCGTGTTAGAGTGAATCCGTGCTATAGAAGTGCCGTGTTATACGGGGGATGGTACCAATTCTCGAACCGTGTTAGAGTGAATCCGTGCTATAGAAGTGCCGTGTTATACGGGGGTTACCTGTATATCAAAGCTGCTGCTTTTCATTTGCTTATGATGATGGAGGAGCTTTTTATTGCATTCTTTATAGAAAATTTATTAAAAGATTTCGCCAAAGATTTCTCCCACACCGGGTCGTATAAAACAAAAATATGTATACTCTGTAACCAACCAATATCCTGCATGAAAACTCCAAACAAAGATTGGCAAACGCTTTCGATGCGCCTCTTGGGCTCTTCTTCAGGCCAAATTTACTGTACTTTGTTTCTACGTGTTTTAAATAAGAATGTAGAAGTTCAAATATTTGAACTTCTACATTCTTATTTCATTTAGTACTGAGCAGCTTAAAGATTTGTGAAGTAAGAAATTGTTATATTCAGGCATGTGAATACATAAGGTCAAAAATTCAATTCTGGAGTGATAAATTATAGTGAAGAAACATTAATGCCTCTGCATTTGTAGAAAGTAAAGTAGTTTCATTGATCATCATATATATTTTCAGCTCTGCTGAATATACTGCTAGTTCAATAAATATATCACTTAGTGGGTTGCCAAAAATGAGACCTCAATAGCAGGATTTAACTTGTACTTTTTATTATATAATAATAATTTTTTGAAATCTTTATTATTGAATAAAAGAAGCTGATGTCCATCTTATTCTAAGTTGTCTGTTTCAGGTACTTCCAAATAAATCAGCTGATATTATGCACTTGGCAACAATAACATCCAAATAATTATTCAATAGTCAGTCATAAACATCTATTGATCCATCACTATTAAAAATGTACATATTAACCTACAACATTGATAAAATGTTTGTTCAGATGTATATATGTTTTTGAATATGTTAATTAAATTATTAAAATATTAATCAGTATTAAAAAAAACATTTGGAAGATATTCCATTTTCAATTTAATACTGTAGAAATGTCAGTTTTGTTTTATGTAAAAATAATGATAAAATGATTATAATTACTGTAAATAATTTAAATTTTACAATTTAGTCTCGTAAAAAATTAATGATAGTGATTCAAAGCATCCTTCATACCGCTAAAACAGCAAATTATCTGATATAGAAAAATTAAGTTATTCAAAAGTTTTTATGGTAGATTGATGGTAGCAAACTGGTACAGATGGTACAGTAAAAAACTTTAATGCTGAAAGACAGTTTGGTTTATTCTAAGTTTGGCATTGTCAGAGAGCACATTTTTATAGCAGGCTTACTTTAACCAATGTCATTATTACAATATTCATCTTTTATTTCATCTTCATTATTATCAAAGCACATTAAAATTATTAGATTAATAATAATATACTTTTTTTAAGAAATAAATTTTTATTTTAGGATAAATTAAAGCAAGCAAGACATGAAGGGCAACGCCAAACAAAATATCTTCAGGAAGAATTATCTCGTGTAACTCAAATAAAAGATGAACTACATAAGTATATTCGGCAGCTGGAACAATCAAATGATGATTTGGAACGAGCTAAACGGTAGGTATTATTTAAATATGAATGTAACATTTACTCTTATAACTATTCTTACATTCTGATATATTTGTTTTAAAAAAATATTGCTATGAATTGTAATTAATTAAAATTAATTTTGAATTTTTTTATTTTTGTAAATCAAAGGCATTACTTCTATTATATGTATATAAAATTTATTTTTTCTATACAAATTGTGGATCAATTACAAATACTGTAGTTTGGAATTCTTAGAGATGACTTATTCCTTCAATTGTGATAATCATTTTGTAAATTTTTCTTTATCAAAGTTTAAGAGAAATATTAAAAAACAATTTTATTTAAAAAATATATATAGATTAATAAATATGATACTGGATTTCTGTTTTATTTTTTTGTGAAATAGGTATTCTTTAGAATTTATATAAAATGTAATTAAATGAAATTAGTATCTGTTGATATTAAATACAGTGGAACCCCGGTTAACGAACGCAATCCGTTCCACGAGTCCGTTTGTTAACCGAATTGTTCGTAAACCGAAGCAATCTTTCCCATAGAAATTAATGCAAATACAATTAATCCGTTCTAGCCGTCAGTATTTTTGTAATTTTATTTGTAAAATGGGTTTTCTTTAATGAAAATATAGGAAAACGTGCTCATAAACAGTCGATCTAGGTTAAATTTTCGGAAAAGGGGAAAGATTTGACGGGTATAAAAACATCACATACGATCGTTAAAGTTCTAAAATGACAGATAGCAGAAACAATAGGCTAAATTATGAGCGAAAGGCTTATAGGTTTATCAACAATCTCTGATCAGAGTCGACGAACAGGTGTCAAATAAACGCCTCGGAACAAACCTTTCTCGTGACCTGATCTGGTTTCGGTTTTCACCTGGAGACAAAGAAGAAAACAATCGGGAAGCGAGGAATGGGACGCAGGACTAATCGTAAGGTGAGATTCAAGGAAGAAATACTATAAAAACCCCGAATCTCAAGGTCAAAACGCAGTTTTCCTAAAAATTCTATGGCGATTAATCTGTGTCGTCTTCATCTGGATTAAGCCTGAAGTCGTGCCCGCTAAAATTTGTGTTGTGTCTCGCGGACCGCTCCAGTCGTTGCAGCTCTGTCACCTACCATCGCTTCTGTGACCAAGCGAACCCATCTCGTCCGCTCTGGGGCTACGACTGATCAGCTTGCACTATCGTAGGACCAGCGATACGCCACTCCTCAGTGCCGAGAGAAAATACTGTAGATAAGCCATTTCCAACTACCTCAAATATGTAAGCATCTTCCCGTTCTAATAAACGATTTTCACTGTAAAATACTTGTCATCTTTGTCTCCTCCACCACCACCAACGTACGAATGGACCTAGACCATCACCGACACACGATTAACTGATTTTCCCTAAAAGTCGGCAAGCTTACAAATTTGACACAAAAAGCCGTTAAGTTCGTTATCCGAGACAATATTTTTCCAAAATAAAAGTTCGTTAACCGATTTGGTCGTTAACCAGGACGTTCGTTAACCGGGGTTCCACTGTACTTTAGAATATAAAATTGAAACAAAAAAACTAATAAAATTGATAGAATTCCTAAACATGTTTGTTACGTGTTTAGGAATTCTATAAAACTAGTTTTATAATTTAAAACTTTCAAATATTCAATGTTTTATTTACACTGAAATATGAGTGTAAATTGTTTGAATGTGAATGATTTATTGAGTTAATTGTTTTTGTTCTTAATAAGTTTTGAAATTAATTTAAAACTTTTTAAATATTAAATTGAAATCATTGTTAAGCAATAAATTTCTGATATTTGGCTACAGCATTACGAAAGAAATTATTTTAACACATACTTAGACAGTAGAAAGAAATATGAATTTTGTAAAAGGTTAATAACATTTTTTTTAATGGAATCAAATAATTTTTTTATTTCAAGTCAAAATCAAATGATGATAATTTATTCTACAATAAATAAAATTATAGAAAAATATTATATTGGAAAAAAGTATTTTTAAAATATGTAGAACAAGAAATAGTACATATTAATATTCTCTTATTTAAAATAGTAATAAAGATATAAATATAAAAATTATATATTACAAGATTGACAGCAATATTTCTGTTGATTTGTTATTTATCATTGAAAGTCAACTGACTGATGCTATTTTTGTAAATAGTGCTAGTATTGTGACTAATTATGTAACAAATTTATTTTCAGTGCTACAGTGTCATCATTAGAAGATTTTGAAGCAAGATTAAATAATGTAATATTTTTATTTTTTATTTAAAGAAACTATAAGATAATTTTAATTTCTTGTGGATTTAAAACAGTTTAATTCCAAATAGTTTTAATTCCACATTATTAATCAGATTAATAATTGTTACTATATTATAAATAACAAAAATAAATATTTATTTATTTTATAAAACAGGAACATGTAAAATAAAGTGTACATAATAGAATTAATTAGAATACACTAATAAATATTTTATTTTAAATATATCTATCTATATATAAATAGAAAAAGATGTAAGTGATGAAATATTAATTGTTATACTGACAATAATTAATATTTGTTGATGCAATGAACCATGCAACTTATACAGGATGTTTAATTAAACTAATTCATGTAATTTATATTAATACTTTCACATCAGTGAGAATGTTCTCAATAAGATTTTAAAAAAAAAAAAGTGTTCTGAAAGTAAAAATATATAATATATTTTCAGAAATTGTAGATTCTGAAAATACATTACATAATGATTTGAAAATATTAAAACTGTTAATATTAAATCAGCTGAGTTTAAAAATAAAATTATAAATTTATTTATTAAAACAAACTGTAGATTTGATATGTTGTTTGAAATCATATCATATATTTAAATAATATATAATTGTTTTTATTTTGTGTTTGCTATAGTTCAAATAATTTTTTTATCATATTTATTCACATAAACAATTTATTTTATAATGTTAATTTAAGTAATTTTTTATACATTGTAAAATAAAATTTATAAATTATTAAAATGCATCAGTTTTATTTTTATTCTTGCTTAAAATTAAATTAGAATATTGTCAAAGATTCTGATTGATACTCGATGGCCATATATTGTGTAATAGATGGCGCTGATTGTTAACTAATCTGCAGTGAACTTTATGTAATGTAGAAGTAAATTTGGTTATTTGGTTTATACAACAATAAAAAAATTTATTCTTATTTTAATGATATTAACAATATATATATATGTATAATATATATATATATATGTATAAAATCATCAAATCAAGAAAAATAAGGATTAATTAAATATGAGCTGTTTAATAAAGAAACTGTAATTAGTAAACAAATTTAATTATTGATTTATTACAGACTTAAAAAACAGAAATGATGATGATATACTTAGCTGCTTAATTCACTAATTATGTTTCAGATTAAAAAATGACCCTTAACTTTTTTATTTGGGTTTTTTTCTTTCTATAAAACTTGTAAAATTTGGCCAAATACAAACATTTCTGAAACACCCTGTATGTATATATATATATATATATATAATATTTCTGTATATATATTTTTAAATATTATTTTGTAATGATATTGTACACCATTCTGTATTAATTTTTTATAATGAGTTAAGTTAAATAATTATCATTGTGCAATTATGAACTTGTATTGCTATCTCAACATCAGTTCTTGATCAATATTGGAATTTATTGTCTTTCTGCTTAACATTGCTTCTGCTAATAGTTTTCCTGATAGTGTGATCTTTCAAGCTCATAATGATGTGTGTATAATACAATTTCAACAGATAATAGGCTATATTTCAACTCAGAATAATTTTTTTAAGATGATGCTAGGCTGCACAACCAGACACAGACCCTTTTTCCTGTTGTAGTGGTTCTTGGTAGCCATTGACTTACCCCATACTCTCCTTTAACTGGGCTTTGTGGTTTGTGAGTGTTCTCTAAACATACTTTTGCTATTTAAAAATATCTAAAGTAATTCAAATGATCAATTTATTTCTAAAAAGTAATCAAAAAATAAAATGAAATTTTTTACAATTACAGAATGAATTAGGTAAGTTTAACTTAAACAATAGCATGATAATTGTCCTTGCATTTGCATGGTGTGCATGATGGTTGCACCCATATTGCATGACTGATGAATAACAAAGTATATACAAGCACCAAAATTTTGACATTTGTTTGATTGTCATTGGCACCTAAAAATGAAGCTAAGACATTTCAAAAATGTTTATTTAAAATTATATAGGTGTTAAGAAACTACTGTTATTAATTATTCTTTAAATATTATTAATTTTTTATTATATTTGATGTTATATCCTTTCTCTAAGAGAGAATGTACCTTTATTTAAGATTTAGTTTTAAGAAACCTAACTTAATATGATAAATTTCTAGTTAAGAATTAAAGGATAAAAAGGATTTGTTAAATAAAATTTATAATTATATACTAGAAAATAAAAAGTTTTAGTATAAAGCTTTGATTAAATTATTAAATATTAAAAAAGAACAGAAAAATAATTGCATTATGAAAGTTGAATTGTCTTTTTATGATGATACAACTTTCATAGAAAAGTTTGATATCAGTCTTGACCATAATTAATTTACATTATATATTTTTTGGATTACTAAAATGGTTTGTTATACAAACAAATTGAGAATATAATTCTTAAAATTTCTGTAAAAAAAAATATTTCAATTGTCTGTTTCAGTTGTTCAGTTATCCTAAAGTCAGTGATTTAAATTTGTCACATGCTTTTATATTTGAATTTCTATAGTTTGGTAGATTATTAACATCATTTCAATAGACCAGGGCTTCTTAAACTATCGGTCGTGACCCCATTTAGGGTCGCTTAGCGAAATCTTGGGGTCGCGAGATTTTAATGCAAAATATTGAAAATAATTTGTGAGAGTTTGAAAATGGTACGCTTTGTGTCATAGGTTTCATGAGTTGTGTCACTTCTGGTGCAGCAAGACAACGATTCAGCAACATTGATTGTAGTGTGAACTAGTGTAGTGTTGTCGCTTTTCAATGTATTCAGTTGTCTCTGTTCCATGTAACACAACAGTGAACTGTTGTAGTACACCATTATTGTTTTCGCAAATTTGTACACATCTTTATTTTATATTTTTGGGGGTCACGAAAAAAATCACAATCAAATATGGGGTCGTGAATAAAAAAGTTTAAGAAGCCCTGCAATAGACTAATCACTTTTAGATGTTTCTTAGGACTAATGGAGAAGTTTAGAAATCTTGATAATACTGAAACTATATAAATATTTGAAAATTTATTACTACAGTAGAGCATCGATTATCCGACCTCCGATTAACCGTCACATCGGTTAATAAACCATTCTAGTCAGCAAATTCAAATGTCTGCTAGTGATGTGGCGCTACAATATTTGGCTATGTCTTAGCTACTTTAATAGTATTTTTACGTGTTTTAGCTGGCAACATGGCTCGACCATGAAAGGGAGCCAGTATTTAAATGAGGCTTAATTTTCTAATTTTTAACGATACAATAGCGACGATTATTATTTTAAAAAAATTTTTGTTAGGCTTAACATCGATGAAAATTCAACGCGAAGTAGGTTAATAGCAATATACTAATATACTAATTACATGAGATATACTAATATACTATACTAATGTATTTTTTCATATTTTTCGGTTATCCGTTTTTTCAGTTATCCGACCAACCCCATTCCCCAATTGAGTCGGATAATCGATGCTCTACTGTACTACTATTTGAACATCATTTCAGTATTAATTAAACTTTATAGTTTACTCATGGATTGAATTTGATATTTCTTATTAGGCCATAGAAAGAAATGCTTTCTTGGAAAATGAGTTGGATGATAAAGAAACATTAAAAGTAATGGTTCAGAGGTTAAAAGATGAAGCTAGAGGTAAGTATTTGTTACTTTTTTATTTAAATGGTTCATAAAAAATAGATTAAACACATTTTTAAATATATAAGTATGTAAAAATACCATTAAGTAATTTATTTTCAGATAATAATTTGCATATATTAAAAACATTCAGTATGAGAATATNATTAATTAAATATGAGCTGTTTAATAAAGAAACTGTAATTAGTAAACAAATTTAATTATTGATTTATTACAGACTTAAAAAACAGAAATGATGATGATATACTTAGCTGCTTAATTCACTAATTATGTTTCAGATTAAAAAATGACCCTTAACTTTTTTATTTGGGTTTTTTTCTTTCTATAAAACTTGTAAAATTTGGCCAAATACAAACATTTCTGAAACACCCTGTATGTATATATATATATATATATATAATATTTCTGTATATATATTTTTAAATATTATTTTGTAATGATATTGTACACCATTCTGTATTAATTTTTTATAATGAGTTAAGTTAAATAATTATCATTGTGCAATTATGAACTTGTATTGCTATCTCAACATCAGTTCTTGATCAATATTGGAATTTATTGTCTTTCTGCTTAACATTGCTTCTGCTAATAGTTTTCCTGATAGTGTGATCTTTCAAGCTCATAATGATGTGTGTATAATACAATTTCAACAGATAATAGGCTATATTTCAACTCAGAATAATTTTTTTAAGATGATGCTAGGCTGCACAACCAGACACAGACCCTTTTTCCTGTTGTAGTGGTTCTTGGTAGCCATTGACTTACCCCATACTCTCCTTTAACTGGGCTTTGTGGTTTGTGAGTGTTCTCTAAACATACTTTTGCTATTTAAAAATATCTAAAGTAATTCAAATGATCAATTTATTTCTAAAAAGTAATCAAAAAATAAAATGAAATTTTTTACAATTACAGAATGAATTAGGTAAGTTTAACTTAAACAATAGCATGATAATTGTCCTTGCATTTGCATGGTGTGCATGATGGTTGCACCCATATTGCATGACTGATGAATAACAAAGTATATACAAGCACCAAAATTTTGACATTTGTTTGATTGTCATTGGCACCTAAAAATGAAGCTAAGACATTTCAAAAATGTTTATTTAAAATTATATAGGTGTTAAGAAACTACTGTTATTAATTATTCTTTAAATATTATTAATTTTTTATTATATTTGATGTTATATCCTTTCTCTAAGAGAGAATGTACCTTTATTTAAGATTTAGTTTTAAGAAACCTAACTTAATATGATAAATTTCTAGTTAAGAATTAAAGGATAAAAAGGATTTGTTAAATAAAATTTATAATTATATACTAGAAAATAAAAAGTTTTAGTATAAAGCTTTGATTAAATTATTAAATATTAAAAAAGAACAGAAAAATAATTGCATTATGAAAGTTGAATTGTCTTTTTATGATGATACAACTTTCATAGAAAAGTTTGATATCAGTCTTGACCATAATTAATTTACATTATATATTTTTTGGATTACTAAAATGGTTTGTTATACAAACAAATTGAGAATATAANTACAAATAGTAAATCATAAGACTATAATAATTTTTCTTTGCTTTTTACAAATGTTTTTCTAATTTATTAAAAGTAAAAATTTGGAATTTTTATTTTATTTTACTTAATGACTTATTTTTAACTTACATTTTTTTCCATAAAATTATTATATTTTTAAAATCAAACATAATTGCAATTTTTGTTGTTGTATTATTTGTTTATTTTTATTAAATCATAAATTTAGTGTATAAGATTGTCTGAAATATAATACATACAGATGATAAAATATAAAAAGCTATTAGTCAATTTTTTCTTATTTAACAATTTTATTCATAACTAGCCTACTGTAATCTGTAACTTGTTGAGAATAAATAGTCTTAGTCAATAGCTTTCTTGAATAATAATTAATGTGTTGATCATAAACAGATAAAATTAGCAAAAATAAAATTTTTAGAATTATTGAAAATAATAATTCTTACTTCCTAGATTTTCTATTGGTTTATCTGAAATATATTACTAAAAGCATTAATTAATATTTCATTTGTTATGGTCATTGCATCTATGAAAACTAAGCATATTTACAGTTTATCAGATTTATGAACTTTGAATCTCTCAGAAATATTTTTAGAGGGGCTTAATGAAATTTGAGTACATTTACATTTTAAATGTATCTGGCTTCTAAAAATATGGCTGTTGTTGAATTATTTTATAATTAAATAAATGAATCATTGTAACAAATAAGCATGTAATTTTTTGAATAAGAAAATTACTGAATCTTTCTGTGCACAACAAAAATTTTAGAGTATTTATGATGATAAAAATAAATTAGATTACAGTGATGGCTAAATATAAAAATAGTAATTATTGTTGTAGTTTTTAGAATGTTTTTGCAAACATTTTAAAATATTTATATCTATAATCTATTACTTATATTTTATAATATCAAATACAGGCAGCCCCAATTTATGACTACAAATTACAATAATTTGTAAAATACAAAATACAAAACATTTGCAACACTATAATTTTAAAAATGTATTGATATCAAACCATCTTGTTATGCTACTGTCAAATAAGAAAAACAAAGGAGCCTGACAAAGCTATTATACTGTTGAGTGATTCCACTGATGGTCACATGGTTGAGTGGTTAACCTATTCAATGTTGAAATTCTTCTCTCTTGCCTGTGACACCATGTTGAATTTTGTCAATGTTAAGCATAACAAAAATTACACGTTATTTTTTAAAAATATTTTTAATTGCTAGAAGACTAGGATATCAATACTTTTAATTTCAGTATTACAAATATTTAATGAAAAACATAAAATTTCAGATCTCAAACAAGAATTGAAAATTCATCAAGCAGGTAAACTTAATAACATATCCCAATATTTGGATGAAAATTCGAAACTAGAAAGTTTGGAAAAATGCAATGAAAGAACAGAAGAAGATGAAAAAATAAATACAATTACTAAATGTAAGGTTTTTACTGTAATATATTTTCAAAAATTTATACTTAAATTTTAATTATGATACAAATTAATTTCAAAAATCCATTCTTTTTTTAGATTTTAACTTTCTTTATTTAAATAATTTTATAGTTGATACAGTTATTATTTTATTGTAATGTTAATTAAACAGTTAAAAGATTTTTAAAAGTAGTGAAACATATTTAACAAATTTTTACTTCTAAAGTTTCAAAAGAACAAATAGCACCATAAGTACATATATAATGCACTTTTTAAATTTTTGTTGTTGTAAAGAGTTTTAATAAGATGGAATAAATAATGGACTCTCATTAATGATTGGTATCAAAAGTACAAAAGAATGAAGTAGAACCTCTATTAAACATCAAAAGACAAAAATGTTGATGTGAATGCCATGAAAGTAAATGTTTTGATTCTATTTTGCTTAAGAATGTTTTGGTTTCTTATTTATTTCTTAAATTGTGTGTTTTTATTTAATTTTTCTGATTCTTACTTAGGGCTAACTCCTTATAATGCTCATAATGGTGATAACTAATTATAATGCTTTCTGTCTTATTAGACCATTTTTCTTTTTCTGTTTTTGACTTTATTTAATTAATTGCATATTTTCAACTAAGTTATAGTTAAAAGAATTATGAAGAATTTTAAATAGGGAATGGAAAAATTTGTTTCATTCATCTGATATTTGCAGATGTTATATAATGGATTATGAATCATGTCAAATTTGCTGTTTTTCAGAGTTTATTCTTTCAGACTGTTATGATTCTAAATTTCAAATGTTTCAAATATATATTTGTTCTAAACTTAAGAATGTCATTTAAAAAAAAAGTTTAGTATTATTACATCATCATGGAATCTTTAAATAAGTATTTCATAAATTATTAAGTATTACTATTTTTATAAACAGGTTTAATAGAGAATCATGAAAAACCTACTGTTACTCCTGCAACACGCATTTCTGCTTTAAATATTGTTGGAGATCTCTTAAGGAAAGTGGGAGTAAGTTTTTGTTTGTTTGTTTATTTCATATAGTAAAGATTTTTGTAAGAAAAACTTTTTCATTGTATTTACTATATAAATTTTTCATTATTTAAAAAATCATATTTAGAACAAATAATATAACAACAGCATTATTTTAATTGGCTTTATGAAATCAGATTTTACTGTGAGATTGAGTTATGTAATTGTTTTTCTTTTTATATATTCGATATATAATTTAATTGGTCTTAAGATTAGCTTCTTGAAATTTTATTCCTAACTAATGATCTTTAATTACCATGTGATAAAATACAAATAGTAAATCATAAGACTATAATAATTTTTCTTTGCTTTTTACAAATGTTTTTCTAATTTATTAAAAGTAAAAATTTGGAATTTTTATTTTATTTTACTTAATGACTTATTTTTAACTTACATTTTTTTCCATAAAATTATTATATTTTTAAAATCAAACATAATTGCAATTTTTGTTGTTGTATTATTTGTTTATTTTTATTAAATCATAAATTTAGTGTATAAGATTGTCTGAAATATAATACATACAGATGATAAAATATAAAAAGCTATTAGTCAATTTTTTCTTATTTAACAATTTTATTCATAACTAGCCTACTGTAATCTGTAACTTGTTGAGAATAAATAGTCTTAGTCAATAGCTTTCTTGAATAATAATTAATGTGTTGATCATAAACAGATAAAATTAGCAAAAATAAAATTTTTAGAATTATTGAAAATAATAATTCTTACTTCCTAGATTTTCTATTGGTTTATCTGAAATATATTACTAAAAGCATTAATTAATATTTCATTTGTTATGGTCATTGCATCTATGAAAACTAAGCATATTTACAGTTTATCAGATTTATGAACTTTGAATCTCTCAGAAATATTTTTAGAGGGGCTTAATGAAATTTGAGTACATTTACATTTTAAATGTATCTGGCTTCTAAAAATATGGCTGTTGTTGAATTATTTTATAATTAAATAAATGAATCATTGTAACAAATAAGCATGTAATTTTTTGAATAAGAAAATTACTGAATCTTTCTGTGCACAACAAAAATTTTAGAGTATTTATGATGATAAAAATAAATTAGATTACAGTGATGGCTAAATATAAAAATAGTAATTATTGTTGTAGTTTTTAGAATGTTTTTGCAAACATTTTAAAATATTTATATCTATAATCTATTACTTATATTTTATAATATCAAATACAGGCAGCCCCAATTTATGACTACAAATTACAATAATTTGTAAAATACAAAATACAAAACATTTGCAACACTATAATTTTAAAAATGTATTGATATCAAACCATCTTGTTATGCTACTGTCAAATAAGAAAAACAAAGGAGCCTGACAAAGCTATTATACTGTTGAGTGATTCCACTGATGGTCACATGGTTGAGTGGTTAACCTATTCAATGTTGAAATTCTTCTCTCTTGCCTGTGACACCATGTTGAATTTTGTCAATGTTAAGCATAACAAAAATTACACGTTATTTTTTAAAAAGTAACCATGGCTATTTTATCTTCTGAAATTATTTTTTTTATTTTTCACAAACAAAATATATATATTAATAAATATAAAAACAAAAAAAAATTATATTTTCAAAGTTAGTTTTAATATAAAAATTATAACGACTAGCGACATCTAGTTCCAAAAATGTATCAATACTGTAACAAGATATCTCAGGTCCACTGGTTGAGGACAAAGATCATGACCCAAGAATTCTCAGGAATAATACAGGACAGGTTAAGATGTCAGTCTATTGCTGTTGGGAATTTTGGAATGAATCCAGGCAAGTTGAAAACTCAGCACTCTTCAGGGTAGTCCATCACGGATATGCTGGGACAATGGGTGGGGTTGGAACATATCTATTCAAATACAATATATTTTGTATTCCATTTACAATGGTTCTTTCAGAAACATGTCCCATAAGTTAAGCTGCCTGTATTACCATTTTAAGAATTTCATATTAAAAATTCTAACTTTTTATGTTATGATAATTTTTAATTTTTATTTCATAATAAAGTTAAGAATTATTATAAGTGTATTACTGTGGGTATTTTATGAAAAAAATAGTTATTTTATAAAGATATAACAATAGACACAGAACAGACTTTAAATTTATCAAATTAATTATTGTTATATTAGATAAATAAATATTATTCAAATTGACAAATTGATTTTGTAACTTTTGAATTATATTTTAAATTATTTTCAAGTAGGAAACTCAAAATTATGTTCTGATTTAATTGTATAAAATATAACTTGGTAAATTCAGATTTAAAAGTGAAATCTTTAAAATATATGAAGAAATTTTGAAAACTTTAATATTTATTAATTACTCAATCTTTTAAAACACTTAAATAGGAAAGGTTTGATTTTTTAACTTTTCTTTACTATTTCATTAATGATTAAAAAAACTGTGCAGTAATCTCTATTCTCCAATTATATTTTTGAGTTAGGCATTGCTGAATAATAATGTGACAAGTATCATGAAGCACAATCAATATTATTTAATTCAAATGTTGGAGAATCAAAAAGTTTAAATTGTCAAAAATTCAAACTTATCAGTTTTGAGAATTGAATTAGTTTTCTGAAAATTTTTAGTGTTTAGCAGTAACTAAGTTCATATTGTTTAGTANTTGTACTAAATTAACTTCTGAAGTATAATTTTTTATTGTTTTTATATTTTTCAATATATTTATTTTGTTCGTACAAAATAAAAAAAATAATTTTTAACGATACAATAGTCTTCGTTAGGCTTAACATCGACAAAAATTCAATGCAAAGCAACACGCAATGGAGAAAAATGTCAAGATGGGATAAATTAATATATTTTTTCGTACATAATCGGTTATCCGAAACATCGATCTTCTGAACAACCCCAGTTCTCAATTGATTCGGAAAATCGACGCTCTACTGTATTATAATATATATATTGTTTTTCTTTTTATATATTCTTATCCTTTAACAAAATTCGCATAAATATTTTATTATTCTTTTATCAGTGTAATGCAAAACCTTCGATGCATGTAATTCTGGCAGAGTCGTGGAATAAGATTTAGAACAAATAATATAACAACAGCATTATTTTAATTGGCTTTATGAAATCAGATTTTACTGTGAGATTGAGTTATGTAATTGTTTTTCTTTTTATATATTCGATATATAATTTAATTGGTCTTAAGATTAGCTTCTTGAAATTTTATTCCTAACTAATGATCTTTAATTACCATGTGATAAAATACAAATAGTAAATCATAAGACTATAATAATTTTTCTTTGCTTTTTACAAATGTTTTTCTAATTTATTAAAAGTAAAAATTTGGAATTTTTATTTTATTTTACTTAATGACTTATTTTTAACTTACATTTTTTTCCATAAAATTATTATATTTTTAAAATCAAACATAATTGCAATTTTTGTTGTTGTATTATTTGTTTATTTTTATTAAATCATAAATTTAGTGTATAAGATTGTCTGAAATATAATACATACAGATGATAAAATATAAAAAGCTATTAGTCAATTTTTTCTTATTTAACAATTTTATTCATAACTAGCCTACTGTAATCTGTAACTTGTTGAGAATAAATAGTCTTAGTCAATAGCTTTCTTGAATAATAATTAATGTGTTGATCATAAACAGATAAAATTAGCAAAAATAAAATTTTTAGAATTATTGAAAATAATAATTCTTACTTCCTAGATTTTCTATTGGTTTATCTGAAATATATTACTAAAAGCATTAATTAATATTTCATTTGTTATGGTCATTGCATCTATGAAAACTAAGCATATTTACAGTTTATCAGATTTATGAACTTTGAATCTCTCAGAAATATTTTTAGAGGGGCTTAATGAAATTTGAGTACATTTACATTTTAAATATATCTGGCTTCTAAAAATATGGCTGTTGTTGAATTATTTTATAATTAAATAAATGAATCATTGTAACAAATAAGCATGTAATTTTTTGAATAAGAAAATTACTGAATCTTTCTGTGCACAACAAAAATTTTAGAGTATTTATGATGATAAAAATAAATTAGATTACAGTGATGGCTAAATATAAAAATAGTAATTATTGTTGTAGTTTTTAGAATGTTTTTGCAAACATTTTAAAATATTTATATCTATAATCTATTACTTATATTTTATAATATCAAATACAGGCAGCCCCAATTTATGACTACAAATTACAATAATTTGTAAAATACAAAATACAAAACATTTGCAACACTATAATTTTAAAAATGTATTGATATCAAACCATCTTGTTATGCTACTGTCAAATAAGAAAAACAAAGGAGCCTGACAAAGCTATTATACTGTTGAGTGATTCCACTGATGGTCACATGGTTGAGTGGTTAACCTATTCAATGTTGAAATTCTTCTCTCTTGCCTGTGACACCATGTTGAATTTTGTCAATGTTAAGCATAACAAAAATTACACGTTATTTTTTAAAAAGTAACCATGGCTATTTTATCTTCTGAAATTATTTTTTTTATTTTTCACAAACAAAATATATATATTAATAAATATAAAAACAAAGAAAATTNTTACTTAAAATTTTCTGGGGAAACCATTGCAATGTTTTACCCATTATACTATTAAAATCATTTCTAATTTCCATATTGGGTGATAGATTAATATTTTAGTTGCAAATTTTTGCATTAAATTTGATTTATTTTGACACACACAATTTTAAAAGATAATACTTTAAAACAAAAAAAAATTAAAAGATTTGAATTTTTTTGTAGTCTTGGGAAGCTTTTTATAGTTTTAATTTAATATTAGTTACAAAATGATTAGCATATTATAAATTTTCTTATTTTTAATCTTTTCATAAATATGCTTAAATGTTTTAGTAGTTTTTTTAAAATATAGTATTTTAATACTTAGTGCATTTTGCTAACAAACTTAACATTTTTATTAAGATTTCATTTTTTAATGATCGTACATCTAATTGTTAAAATCAAGTGTTTTACTGAGAAATCAAAATTGAATTTGCATCCTGTAACCTACTTAAATATTTAAACTAAACTGACAGTATTAATAGTTCATTAATTTTTTCATTATATAAAAATAAATGTTGCATGCACTGTTCTCTTCTCCTCTAATCTTTTTGGCCATTATTAACTGCAAGTTTCTTTACAAGCTTAGAATTTTCATGTGTCTTATTTTTGGATTCTGCATTAATTTTCTGCTAATAAAGCAACATTTAATTAAATTATTCCTTTCTATATGTACTTTATTATTTTCTTTTATGTTTATTTTTTTCTGTACTAGGTTCATGTTATCATATTGGCTGTTGGGATTAACCAAACAAAATTGCAAAGTCAGTCATTAATACCTGACTAATATTCTGTAGTTTGCTAATTGTTTATGATTAATTTATTTTATTGCATATTATTACAGGGATTTCTGAGTGGTGCAGTAAAATCCCTTCCTTCTAAATGTTAAACTAACATTTAATACTAAAATATGCTTGTAATAAAATTAATTTTAAGAATTCTTGATTATTTATGATAGTTCCATGAATATTTTAATCTAAATATTTCATTAACTTTATATAATTTCACAGTTTAGATTGAACTCTACCTGAATATTTTTTGATTCTAGATAAATTTTATAAAGAAGCTTGTTAATATTAATAAAAGTATTTATAGTACTTCTGCATGTACTTATTGATTATTTTAAATTTTATTTTAGAACAGATATATTTTACAATAATTAATTTTTATAATACAAGGCAAATGTATTAAATCTATAATGAAAAAAATCTTGTTAGAAGACTAAATCCAGATTTCTATTTGTTTGAAATTGCATGATATAGATATACAGCATTTGATTTGAAATTGGTCTGTTTTATTCATACTTTAATCTCTCATATTTGCATTATTAATCAATCTAGATATTGATTCAAATCTTGTAGTTAGATATATTTAATAAATAATTATATAACAGTTTTTTTCTTCAGGTACACTCCAACTCAAGTGATTTCTTTTATTTAGGGATATGTACTTTGGTCATTCTTTGTTCCTCTTCAGTCTGTTTTATTTTTATTACTGCTACAATCTTTTAAGATGTTCCTATTTTACATTGCATTCAGCATGATACTTTGTTTAACATTTAAAGTTCTTTTTATATTCTTTGGGTATTAATAACATCATTTCTATTGAAAAATAGACGTTGTAGTTTGGTGATCTCCAAACTTTTTTGATCACATACCCCTAAGATGAAAATAATTATAAGTTGTACCCACTACAATATAATATAATATAAAAATAAAATAATATAATGTAATATAAAAAATATATATTGTTTTTCGGTTCTTGAATACATATTTGGACAAGGAATTGGAAGGAATGTTGAGTCTAAAATGAATCTCACTNCAATAGACACAGAACAGACTTTAAATTTATCAAATTAATTATTGTTATATTAGATAAATAAATATTATTCAAATTGACAAATTGATTTTGTAACTTTTGAATTATATTTTAAATTATTTTCAAGTAGGAAACTCAAAATTATGTTCTGATTTAATTGTATAAAATATAACTTGGTAAATTCAGATTTAAAAGTGAAATCTTTAAAATATATGAAGAAATTTTGAAAACTTTAATATTTATTAATTACTCAATCTTTTAAAACACTTAAATAGGAAAGGTTTGATTTTTTAACTTTTCTTTACTATTTCATTAATGATTAAAAAAACTGTGCAGTAATCTCTATTCTCCAATTATATTTTTGAGTTAGGCATTGCTGAATAATAATGTGACAAGTATCATGAAGCACAATCAATATTATTTAATTCAAATGTTGGAGAATCAAAAAGTTTAAATTGTCAAAAATTCAAACTTATCAGTTTTGAGAATTGAATTAGTTTTCTGAAAATTTTTAGTGTTTAGCAGTAACTAAGTTCATATTGTTTAGTGATATCACATTATCTGCATATTTTTCAACTCCTTTAAATCATTTCAACTTTTTAAAGCTAAAGATAAAACTGTGTTTTCCATGCTTAGAAAACATGATGTAACTAAAAATGATTTTGTTTGGACATTTATGCCAATAAAACTATGAAATGTGACAATTTCACCCATGTTAGAGTTTACAGAATACACACATTTCAGGGAATCCCCGAAGTTCTATAAACTAGCAGACCGTGTGCTACTTTTGCTTTTTGAATTTTATATTCAAAGTATAAAGTGCCCTGATTTCAAAATTGAAATTTATACAAAAAAATTTGAATTAACTATACTTCTTTGGAATTAATTAAAACACAGATTTCAAGGGTTCACTAGATACAGTTTCTCATTCAAGAATTACTTAAAATTTTCTGGGGAAACCATTGCAATGTTTTACCCATTATACTATTAAAATCATTTCTAATTTCCATATTGGGTGATAGATTAATATTTTAGTTGCAAATTTTTGCATTAAATTTGATTTATTTTGACACACACAATTTTAAAAGATAATACTTTAGAACAAAAAAAAATTAAAAGATTTGAATTTTTTTTGTAGTCATGGGAAGCTTTTTATAGTTTTAATTTAATATTAGTTACAAAATGATTAGCATATTATAAATTTTCTTATTTTTAATCTTTTCATAAATATGCTTAAATGTTTTAGTTGTTTTTTTAAAATATAGTATTTTAATACTTAGTGCATTTTGCTAACAAACTTAACATTTTTATTAAGATTTCATTTTTTAATGATCGTACATCTAATTGTTAAAATCAAGTGTTTTACTGAGAAATCAAAATTGAATTTGCATCCTGTAACCTACTTAAATATTTAAACTAAACTGACAGTATTAATAGTTCATTAATTTTTTCATTATATAAAAATAAATGTTGCATGCACTGTTCTCTTCTCCTCTAATCTTTTTGGCCATTATTAACTGCAAGTTTCTTTACAAGCTTAGAATTTTCATGTGTCTTATTTTTGGATTCTGCATTAATTTTCTGCTAATAAAGCAACATTTAATTAAATTATTCCTTTCTATATGTACTTTATTATTTTCTTTTTTTCTGTACTAGGTTCATGTTATCATATTGGCTGTTGGGATTAACCAAACAAAATTGCAAAGTCAGTCATTAATACCTGACTAATATTCTGTAGTTTGCTAATTGTTTATGATTAATTTATTTTATTGCATATTATTACAGGGATTTCTGAGTGGTGCAGTAAAATCCCTTCCTTCTAAATGTTAAACTAACATTTAATACTAAAATATGCTTGTAATAAAATTAATTTTAAGAATTCTTGATTATTTATGATAGTTCCATGAATATTTTAATCTAAATATTTCATTAACTTTATATAATTTCACAGTTTAGATTGAACTCTACCTGAATATTTTTTGATTCTAGATAAATTTTATAAAGAAGCTTGTTAATATTAATAAAAGTATTTATAGTACTTCTGCATGTACTTATTGATTATTTTAAATTTTATTTTAGAACAGATATATTTTACAATAATTAATTTTTATAATACAAGGCAAATGTATTAAATCTATAATGAAAAAAATCTTGTTAGAAGACTAAATCCAGATTTCTATTTGTTTGAAATTGCATGATATAGATATACAGCATTTGATTTGAAATTGGTCTGTTTTATTCATACTTTAATCTCTCATATTTGCATTATTAATCAATCTAGATATTGATTCAAATCTTGTAGTTAGATATATTTAATAAATAATTATATAACAGTTTTTTTCTTCAGGTACACTCCAACTCAAGTGATTTCTTTTATTTAGGGATATGTACTTTGGTCATTCTTTGTTCCTCTTCAGTCTGTTTTATTTTTATTACTGCTACAATCTTTTAAGATGTTCCTATTTTACATTGCATTCAGCATGATACTTTGTTTAACATTTAAAGTTCTTTTTATATTCTTTGGGTATTAATAACATCATTTCTATTGAAAAATAGACGTTGTAGTTTGGTGATCTCCAAACTTTTTTGATCACATACCCCTAAGATGAAAATAATTATAAGTTGTACCCACTACAATATAATATAATATAAAAATAAAATAATATAATGTAATATAAAAAATATATATTGTTTTTCGGTTCTTGAATACATATTTGGACAAGGAATTGGAAGGAATGTTGAGTCTAAATGAATCTCACTCGTCTGCAATAAAACTTTTCAAATAAATTAGAAAAATTTACATATAAAATTATGTTTATGGAATAAATTACTCGTGTTTTTTGTTAGAAAAATTTGCTAAATTTTCACTATAAATACATAATTCCTGCTAAATTTCTTGCTCACCACAATTTGAATTTTTTCCATATATGATTGCAAGTGATCATGAGCCTATTTCTTCAGGAGGATGACTATAAGATTATACAGACTGCCAACAGGACACATACAGTATTTTGAATGGAAACTTGGCATTCCCTCAAGTATCACTTTGCATATCCCACTTTGGAGACCACTGTTGTAGTTAGTAGCTTTCATTCAACTTGTAGGAATGCGAGATTTGTTTTACCATTATAATTAAAACCATTCTAGACTGTCACAGATCTTCTTTCCTACTGTCACTTGGAGAAGATCTGTTCTTTTCTAAGATTATGTTAGTAAAATGCCAAGCCATTGGGATCATCTAGGTTGAATTTTTTCTCATCACTAAAGATGACTCTCCTCCATTCATTTTACCAAGGTGTGTATTTTTGCTCAGGCCACTCTTCTTTTCTCATGTTGGTCCATAAATCAAGTTTTTTCCTTTTTTCATTTTGTACTTTAGTATTTTGCTGTAGTTGACAATTATTGATAAGGTAAACTTGTGAACATTTATATCTGGATCATGGCACAGTTGTGCAAGATGTTTGCCAGAATTGAATTTTCTAACAACTTTTCTTTCTTGCCTAGGTTTAAGCTTTCTTAGCCTACCAGAGGACCTCATCCAAAATAGCTTTCCAAGTTTCAAAAAGTTGTTTACCATACATATAGCCAATTCTTCTTTCTGTTTCTTCTTCATCTTTATTCTGATATTCTTTCCTTTAAAAGCAGTAATTTTTTTCTCAAACATACAGTGCTGCTTTTTAACTCATGTTAATGAAGCTATCTTTACATCTCAAGAACTTGTTTAATTATTTTTGTCTTAATGTTATCACCTGGATGTGGTCTTTCTGAAAGCTTGACATAGTCCCAATGTATCTCAACATTGTTTTCAAGCTCTCTGTACTAATTCATGTTTATCCTCCTATTCCTGATATTTATAGTGTTCTATTAGTCTTTTCTTTAAAGATCTTGATGTAACTCCTATATACTCCAATTAGTGGTTTTTCTCTCTTGTATGTATTGGATAAAATTAATATTACTTGTTATATGATTCTTTTAGTCTTCAATTTTGATTATTAATAATTTTTAGATATTAATTTATTAGTTTCATAAAATTAACATTCTATTAAGATTGACTTATACATATTTAAAAAACTAAAATTAGCAAAATTTTCAGAATATTATAAAAGTACTTTTATTTCTGATAGTCTGGAGATAATTATATTCAAATATTTTTTGTTTTTCATATTTTTGTTGCTATAAGTGAAGACTATATTATATGGAAATATTATGTTTAATATTTCAGAGAAAAATACTGTAAAACCTTAAAAGTCAAA